ACAAACTCTTCGTGCTAGCTTGTGTTCCATTTTTAACCTATTTCGAAAAACTCGACTATCCAGTGGACACGACAAATGGAAAGAAAAAACATAATAAGACATTATCCTTCGGTATCCTCAAAAGAAATGAAGAAAAAAAAAAAAAAAAAAAAAAAAAAAAAAAAAAAAAAAAAAAAAAAAAAAAAAAAAAAAGAGAAATGAAAAAGGAAAAAGAAAAAAGAAAAAGGAAAACTAACACACGTAAACCGAAAAGCGCCCACACGAGAAAAATGGTTAATATACATGAGTGAGCGCCTACTCCTAACTTGGTATTAAACCATCCCTCACGCCTTCTCGCGGCTCACCCGCAAAGGCAAATCTAGAGTCTGAAAAACTCTCTGCGCCGGTCTGTGTTCTATTCCTAAGCTATTTCTAGAAATACAATCCTCCGGTGAACACAAAATTAAAAGCAAAAAAGGATACGATTCTTCAGTGACCACAAAAAGAACTAAAACCCGCACGCCGAAAGGACCCACACCGGCACAACGATTAGTATACACGAGCGAACACCCGCTACTACGCCTCCTTCCCTCTCCTCTTTTTTTCTTCCCAGCTTCAATCAGAAATTCATCATTCCGGGGTACTCGTGGGAGAGATAAACTCCCCACGGACCGCTAGAAATCCTAGCAAACTTTGCTAGGGCCCTAAGAGAGATCTCCGGGGGGTACCCCCAGAGGCGAGTTTTAAGCATAAGAGCTACGATTGCCGCTTTCAATGCTTCGTCGGACGTGGACAATCTACTCATCCTTACGAGATTGGCAAAAATCGCAACTTTCTTGGTACTCTTCTTTGTATACGAGGCGAAGTCCTAGATCGACTGCACCTGCAACCCCCCACCATCGGACAAGGATTGTTGATTCCAAGTACGAGGGAAAATATGAATCTAAACGGGATCAACCTCGACGATCATCCGGTTCCCAAGGAAGTTAAACGCATTGCCACCTTCGTCCTTCCGAATCAATTTTAAGATTCTTGTCATAGCACGACTTAAGCAGATCCAACACACCGATCGCCCTCCGGAACGATCCCACCTGCGTACGGGAAAAAGCGGCCAACACTACCACGTCATCAATCATCCTCATTCCCTTCATCAACACCCCTTCTTGGTACATATTCTTTACGAACCTTGATTCAGCTCGAGCACAGAYRAGGCATGSTACAGCAGGACTGGAGTTTCTTCCTATGRGAATGCCCRTTCCTTGCTTTAGTATACTCCCCGTGCATCTTACAAATGAGTTGCTCAACTCAAAYTCCACTTCTCKCCGAATCACGTMAAAGRACAGGGTGGCAAACCCTTCCTCCTTCCTCACCTTCTTCATCATGGTACACAGCTTCCCCYTACAGTTGACAYGGAMCCCTTGGAWGYCTCTRCTCCGAAAATGATTCACGATCCAATCCACTGCTTCTCTCACRCTCTCAKGTGRTAATCTARAGAACATATCTTTTATGTCSTAGCTCYGGGCAATCAYAAYGTYTGCGAACYGGCACAACTCTCTCTGAATCTTCTTACTRCGTATCCCCACGTCATCCATMGAAACCAAGTCAAAATGYTCATTCCTCGATRCCCCGAGCARCATAYACSTGAWGGCCCSTCCTACACGAGAGGCTGCAAGTCGGGACGGATCTCCTGTATTTGGAGAGATGGGCCTCCACCGCTGGAGGTCCTTGTCTTTGGGCATCACATATGCCCGCCCTATCTTGCCGCCTGCTTGCCACCTCGCAATGCTCGCCAATCCCGATTGCTCATAATCCTTCTTCATCCTGGCGAGAATCCTTACCTCGGTATCGTGCATCATCCGAAAGCTGGGATTCCCTCGAAACGTCTGAACGCACGCCTGATGATACGCAAGGGGGCAGATCAACAGGGTTGCACCCGGGTTCCGATCGATTGGCACGGCAACCAGATTGGCGTAATCAGACATCGCTCGCCTCACCTCTTTATCAGTAATCCCTCGCCTCACCTCATTATCAGTCATCCCTCCGATCACAACTTCCCCTCCCTGCTTGAAGCACCTCATCACCCGTCCCAGAACGTACAAATCGCCTTCTTGTTTCACCCATTCTCTCACTCCCTCGGAGATGTATCCTGCCAACTTCAGCGGAGACAAGTCTTCGCTCCTTGACACATTCCTAGAGTTCCATACAAACCTGGGCATACCCCTCACCTCGTCAAGTCTCACCTTCACATGTCCATTACTTCTGGAAAGTGGTATGTGGATACACGTGCACTGCACTTTTTCCAAATCGGCATACCTCCATTGATTATGGATCAGCATAGCCACCGACGACTTCTTAGTTGTCACCACCCTCACCCGTCTCGCCACAAAGCTTGCAAGTTGCGTCTCCATGCCAGCCATCTTAATGACATCATGGGCTAACATCCTCACCTCCCCCATCTTCTTATTCGGAGAGAATGGCACCTTAACGCATGGTCTCTTCCGTATTTCTACCCCATACTTCCTCTTCAAGACCCGACTCACCACATTTTTGATCTTGTTACGTGACTTCTTCTCCTCAAATAGTGCCCCTGTTCGGAACAATGCCCCCAACTCCCTAGCTTTTTTTCTATACAATCCCTTTATCCTCCATGGTTAACGAAGCACATCCCGCATTACGAACTTCCTATGCTTAACTCCCGCTGGCATGATCGATACCTTCCCCACATCATACGTGCCCCCCTCCTCTAATGTTTTCTTACACTCCCGAATCTGAACTTCTCTCCCTTCTATCCACAGGGTGGTTTCCCCTATCTTACTCCTTACCACCTTCCATCGATACAACCAAGTGTCCCCGCCTGAGGAAGTAATCCGATGGTTTCCTCCATCCCCCTTAAAACCTTTCACCACATCAATAATGGATGTCCTCCCGTTGATCTCAAAATGATTCCACCCAACCTATTACTCTTTCTCCTCCCCCTCTCCCTCTTCCCTTTCCTTCTCCTGATCCGTTTCACTTCCGGTCCTCTGCCCTGAATATTCAATGCGGGCGAGAACCTCCTAATCAAGGACGTTTCTACATTAAACAAATCACTGACACCAACCACCACAGGGATAACGAGATACCTTTTCCACCCGAAATACCGCAGCCAGGAATGCAGCTTGGGGGCACCCCCTTCCTCACCTCCTATCACCTTACTCACATGATCGGCCMATCGAACAATAATGGCCTTCGTGGTGCAGCCGATATAAAAGTGGCGGCACCATGGGCTAGCTACAACATATACCTCGGGATTCGCCGTCGACAATTCTTTGTCCGAGCCACTCACCATCCCTACCCACTTCCTCGCCCATGTGCACAGTCCCCTGATCACCAACAATAGAAACTTCCGAAAAGACCGGTCCTTGTATTTAGCACTCCTCCTCCCTGTACCTACACCAAAAGCCCTCGGACGACATTCCATCATTTCCTGTAGATCTTCCATTTCTGCAGACTAACTTTCAAACAATTGAGAGACGTCACATTTCTCAGAGAACTCACCGTACGCAAGCTTAGCCTTACATTTCACCAATTCGCCGATAGCGGTATCTTTTTTCGACCACTCAATCCCCTCACGGTTATATAGCTTGCGCAGTTCAGGCACCTTTTTCTCTGATAGGTGCCAATGAAGTTCCATCGCGAAATCCAATATCCCATTCCCTTCATCGTCCTTTCCATCCCGAGGAGGAGTACGAACCTCCTCGTCTTCCTCAATCTTCACCGAAACCTCACTAATAGGCCTCCTCCCTATCCGAATCTTAGAAAACCTTCCTTCTTCCTTATCCCCCCTCCTCTTCCCCTTCCTCTTTTCGATCGCGGCCACCAATCTCCCTGCCTCCTCCCTAACTTCCTCGCTATCATCCTCAGATTCTTGCAGATAACTTGTTATATCTCGCAACACTCTCGCCTTGGTCCTCGGGGATTTTTTTGTCCCCGATGCACTCCCATGTACGTTCGCCTTATTGTGCTGCGCAAGAAGCTTTATTAACCTGGCTTCTAGTCTTGCCTCTCTCGCCTCGGCCTCCCTCAACCTCTGCTGCTCCCTCCGATTATCCTCCTCCCTCCTTCTCCTTTCCTCCTCCTCCTTCTCCCTTTTTTCCTCGTCCAGTTTCTTTTTCTTAATTTTCTCCCGTAGATACTCTCTGAATTCCTTCGCCTCCTCAACCACAATTCCAACCGGCACTTGTGCTTGCGTCGGATGTGGTCGTCCATTACCATTCGCCCAACAGTTACGCGCATAGTGTCTCATTTTTCCGCATAGATAGCATGACACCCGTCCTTGCTGATTCGCCCCCATCATCAGGAACCCACTCCCCATCCCCTGAATCATCGGAATCCGAGGATTCTGCATCACTCGTGGTAACTCCTATGCCTTTGAACCTGTCTCCTTCTTCTCCTTCTCCTATCTCTCACCASACACCCAATACTATATACTCTACCTAAGAACCTTTCCAATACACACGTCAACTCCTCCCTCGGATCCTCACTAGGGAGTTCAGTAGCTACATAGATTAGATGAACAACTTTATCATAAAGTAAATTTTCCACGTCCTACCACAGTCTGTCGAATTCCTCTTCTCTAAAACTCCTACCATTCATTCCTTCACTGCTCAATAAAACTAACTGAAAAGCGCACGTCAAAATACCACCCTTTACACGAAGTCTTCCCCCAGAGAGTAAGCACCGAATACAAACCTCCGACTCCTATGATCAGCGCGATCGATCTCCGTGAAATCGGATAGGTGATGCTCCGTGCCCGAACCTTTACCATAGCTGCCCGACTCCCAGGGGCATATGACGAGAGGAGACGATCACGCGCCTCACGCACTTAGCTTGAATCGCAGCCTCAAGTCCTYAGTCGATCACGCCAAGAACTAGGAACACCGCCGTAGCCACCGCGTCCTGTCGCCCACCACCGGTTACCACGTAGAGAGACAGAGAGAAGCAACACATCATATCACAATAACGCAAAAATCACCACGCAGGAGTCCCGGAATCGAAGTTCATTCATTACATAAACCATCTCCAAAAACGTATGCTCTCGCCCCTACGCGTTTCGTCACTTAGCATACCCAGTGACTCATCAGGAGGCTTCACTACCTCATCAACAACTTGATCCCGATACATAAAACAGTGGCTTACTCTCCTTAAATACTCCGTCCCCATGCGCTTTTCCTAACCTTYTCCCCGTCCTCTYTACYTCGCCCGTACCCCCTCTATCCCATACMCTCATTCCTGCAGATAGTATACACCCTCTTCTTTCTTCGGCCCCAGCATCCGTTTTTTWACCAATCCTACCACCCGCCATTACTTCGACCTTTACTCTYATYCACCCATCGATAYTGCAKCGCCGATATCCTTMCACAATTTYCCGTATCCCGTACCCCCTCGTTACTGCCTTCTAACCTCGCGTCACCCTTTTTCTGAAAAACATCCCTACGCCCCCAGCCTCTTCCTTCCCCTATCCTCCTA